TTTGAAAAGAGTAGAAAAAAGTAAAAATTAAGAATTAAAAATAAGAGAAAAAATTTTTTTTCTTTTTTGTAAATAGCAAAAAATAAAAATAATGGGCCTCCTTCAGGGTATGTCTCTGCTGTCACAGTAGGCAATGTAGGCATCCATCTGCATATACAAGTCAATGAGTCTCAGCAGCAGACCTGTGAGATTCAGGCAGATTTCTGGCTGCTAGTCCCAAGTTGAGCTCCCTGTCCTCCTGCAGGGTTGAACTCTGAAAGCTCTACTGCAGGTTCCAGTTGCCTTTCCCCTGAAGATAGTACAGGTTTTGATGGGAGGTAATGATCCCAGGTGATGATCCCTCCAACTTACCAAGTACGGTGGTCTCATGTACCTTTATTGTAGAGATTCTCTTTGCTTTTCTGCTGAGCTTCAGTTTTCATCAAGGAGCCTGAAAAGCCCTCTTTCTGTTACTAACTTCTGCTCTATCTTGTGGCACTCAGGACAAGGGCCTTTATAATCCCCTGGGCCTCTGTAGTGTGGGACCGGGTAGCAGAAGAGCCAGAAGGCCAGAGGCGGTGGGGGGGGGGGGGGACTGGGCCTTGGAGGTGCCCGAGGGGCTAAGTGGATTGCCAGATGGGAGTGGGGCTCCAAGCCCCACCTGGGACCTCACCATGGCATAGGTGGAGCCCAGATGGACCTGGGGAGCTTCACACTATGTAGTTAATTTTAAACGTTCTTCAACTTAAATGATTGATTTGGAAGGACTTGATACTTTTATATTTGAAAAATATTTAAGTATATATAAGAATACTTTTGGTCTGTATAAATCACACTTGATCTTAGCCAAAAGGCCGAGAAGCGACGGTCTGTATAAATCAATATTAATTTCTATTAACTTACTAGGAACACTGTTCCCTTCAACTCTTTTTTCAATTTGTCTATGGTTATGTATGGATAACATTGTATGAACATCAGGAAATGTAAGTTGCATTTGTTTGTTTCAAAATCACATACTATTTTCACACTTCATGTAGATACATATTTATTTACTTACATATCATTATATAAATATTCACAGCTGCATGTGTATACACACATACTGGCCATGAGCATATAAACTTTAAATGCCTGTTTGTATTTGCTACAGCACAGGGGGGCTTTGACAGGAACCACATCACAGTTAGGAGAAGGGGAGTGATGGGAATACAGAATCCAGGGAAATACTGACTCAGGAGTCTTGAACTCCTTGTCCATCCCTCTGCTTCATGTTCATTCCTAGGAGGAGCTGGGACAATTGGGCCAGCAAAGAACAAATCAGATCCCAATGCTGGTGAGTAAGGACATTCTCAGGGGTGGGGCTGGGCTCAGAGGTGTAAGCGCCCTCGAGAGTAGGTGCTGCCCTGCGAGGATGTCCAGGGATGCAGGTGACCCTGGTCTCCCCTGACTCTGTGACCTCTTGGTCCCCTGTTCCCAGCTTCCCACCCCCAGGGTCACACAGTGGAGAATCTGGTGTGGATGGGCGTGGATGGCCTGGTCCTGGTGGCCCTCAGGATTCTGCTATTTGCACAGCCAGAGAAGGACCTGAGATGCAGCCAGAGGTGAACACCAGAGAGGACAGTGCATCTTCTGAGCAGCAGAGTCCTGGGCATTCATCTGAAGTTCCCAGGAGACCGGGGAAGAAGATCTGGGGTTGTCAGTTGGGGGCTGTCAGCTGAGAGCGCTGAGAGGAATAAACCCATAGCAGGTTAGGGAACCAGGCTGGGTGCAGCTTTGCAAGAATCTTCCTCCCTTGAATTGTGGCTCTTTCCCTCCCTACTGGACTTGAGATCCCAGATGCTTCCTGCTTTTCTCACCCCCAACATGTGAAGGTCCATCCCCAGGCCCAGTTTCTGACTGTGCCTCTTTGGCCCTCATGTTCTGGGCCTCTTCTGTGTGCTACATTTCATTTTAATCCCCATATTCTTTGATGTGCACCAGTAAGTCTGTCTCCATGGCTCTGAAAATGAATCTGGACAAACTGAATAAATGGGTAAAAGTAGATTCCAAACCTCAAAGTATAAATCCAGTATGATGCTGTCATAGCCACTGGGGAATTCAGAATGCTTCACTCTTTCCTGAATGCTACCATCTTGGGGAATCAACACACCGCTACTTAAAGTGTCAGCTTGATGTTGTGCTGGGGAACCAGCTCTCTGAAAACAAACTTTTAGCCAGGTGTGGGCCACAGTCTCCAAATCTCAGCACTTGCCGCAGACCAGCTGCAGTAGATGTCGATGTAGGGTAGGAAGGGGAGAGGTCCTGGGCCGGCAATGAGAAAAGAACCGTTGCAAGCAATGTGCAGGTTCCCTCTGAGAAGTCTCAGGGTCTGATTTATTTTTATATCTTTAACCAATAGCTGGGAGGCATTGGGCAGAACATGTTTACATTTTAGGTTGCCTTAGCAATTTCTATTGAAGTAAAGGTTATTTTTTGCTAAACAGGGTATATTTTTTCTAAGCTGATTCATTTCATTGAACATCATGAATACATTTTAAAAATTACAATCGTCCCCTTATTTACCCACACCTAAGCAGAACAGAAGGTAACTTAATCAAAATCTCTATATCAGCAGGGGTACAAGCAAGATTTAATTAATTAAATGTCAAACTTGTGGTCGTCAGCTGGCCCTTGAGAAACTGCACAATGGTTAATATAGTTTGCTATTAGCTCTCTATTTTTCTATACCTCTATTTATCTTACTTAAGTGTTATTTGGGTTCATGGTCCAT